AGCCAGCGCTCCAGCCCGAGCCCAAATATCTATAATGCAATTGTGTGGGTCTTTTATCGTGCCATGGGTCTTTTATCACAGCATTGACGTCCCCTCTCACATACAGGCTGCCCAGGACTGTAGTAACTTTTGTGGTCCCAGCAAAGGGGGGATAGATGAGTTGGGATCTACAGAGCGCTGGTTGAGCTGCTGGGGACTCATGCCCCTTCCAGAATCTCTGTGAGATTTCTATAACAGAGTTTCTGCATAGCCTCTTTGTAGTCCATAATGTGCTAGCCTTTGATCAGAAGCAGGCAAAGCTTCCTGATGCAGGAAGTTGACATGTACCCCAAAATCTGGGTTCTCATTTCCCCCAAGGAGAGACAATCAATTGTAAATAATTAGTAGTAATGTAGTAATGGACTGACTACATAAGTAGTTTCCCTAGCCATTTTAATAATGCTTTCAGTTACTGCACATACCATTACAAATGTCAACACCCTCAATAATGAGACTATTAGCAATATCAGCCGGAGATAATGCCCTATAAAGGATCCAGCATTTTTTTTTTCAGTTCCATCTCCAACAGCTGCCCCCTTCATTAAGTATGGGACACATTTGTTTTGGATACCAGTTGCATAAAATTGTTATCCAGAAGGCTGCTGATAAAATGTCTCAATTTGCATAGGCATTCAATGCAACTTACATCGATGATAGGTCACTACTTTGGGAGAATAAAGAGAAGCTGCACTGCTCCAGAATAGGTCCTTAACCAGTCAGAGATGAGAAAGTACATCTGTCTAGAGGTAAGGTAAGAATTTTACTGTTAGTACATCACCATCCTCCTTACCCTTCCCTAGCGGGTTGGGTAGTACAGTCGCAAATCACAAGGGAAGGAACTTACCAATAGCATAGTTACTACAGCTAGCAGATTAATCCATAGCCCACTTCCACCCTCATCCACTCAAAATTCATTCTCCCAAGAAAGGCCTGTCCTTACACACCATCATACCATTAACATACAGTGTGTGTTAGATAGAACCATACAGTGTGTTAATATAAAGCTCCACTGTAAAACAAAAACTCCTGAATTCCATAATAAATGTTGCCTGCATTATTAAGGTTTAAACTGCATAGCACATGTGCATGCAGTATGCCTGCCCTTACAAATGTAGGGTTTCCCCTACACTGGCACAGACATAGCTTCATCGGTCAACCTCTAGGAAGAGAGGGCATGGCATATAGTCCTGATTTTTAACTTAAGCAAAGAAAGGACAGAGTTAGTTTAGATCTCAGAAAAGACTTCTCTCATAGAGTTACTGGGATTTGAATCTACTGAAGGTTCTAGTGGAAGCAGGTAGTATTAATGAGTGTAAGAAAAGGATGGATATTCACTTAGGGTAAAGTTATGGCAGGCCCAGGCATAATGTGATTGAGGAGCATGGACACTGCATGAGGCTATCAGTGGCATCATTCGCCTTCTCAAAGGGGACAAGTGAGGAAAACACAATGATGCAAAACCCTCTGCAGAAGCCAGCAGAGCTGATCAGGCACAAGAGGGGTAGGAATGCACTGAGCACTTGTTTAAATGGTTGCAGAGAGTCTGTGAAAAACAACACGGGGACCCAAATCTGGGGTCTAGCTGAGCTGTACTTGGCACACGAACAAAGGAAGAGGGGGTAAATGTAGCTTTACTTTAGTGTTCCCCTGATCTTAGAGCTGGCTCAGGGCTGATTTGGCCCCTCATATGACTTAGGGTAGCTTCCAATTGACTCTTAATTCCACATGGCTGCCCAAAGCCCCAAGGAGCTGTTCTGGCAACCAGGATAGCCACAGAACTGCAGTGCTTCAGTCATACCCCTTTTTGCCTAGCCACATCCACCATGCTGGGGGCTCAGACTGTGCTGGCTCTATAACACCTGGCTTTCCTCTACACTGGGGAAATATTCAGGGGGCATTTAAATCAGTTTTACAACCTACTTGCACAGACAAAGCAGTGCAGAGAAGCTATTGCAGACCAAGAACTGGGCTCTTTAGATCTGAACAGTGTCCATATTATAAACCCATATCTGCATGCAGCAGAGACCCTCGTCCCTGGAGCCCTGGTGGTCCAGTAAAGTGCCACCATTGTGTCTTTGCATAGGTTTCACTGAGTGAGGGGTTTTAATAAGTCCCATGAGGCTTGTATATTGAAAAACACCCCTTCAGGTGTCTAGTTTATTCAACCCGAAAGGCAGAAGCTGACACAGCTAAGCCTCCTCAGCTTCTGTGGCACATGCCAGCCTATCTTTCAAACTGCCCTTATGGTTTCCCTCATTTAGATAGGAGTTTCCCACAGTGCTCCTCCTTGGAACTGGGTTGTAGTTCAGGCCACTGGCAGGGCTTTAACCAGCTTCTCTTCCAGCTGGGCCCTTTTCCCCACTTAGTCCATTCACCCTGAGGCTGGGAGGGTTCAGTAAGCAGACCTTCCCCTACTGCTGTCTTCTCCCTGCTAACTCAGGGCCCTGCAGGAGCCTATTAGGGGGCTTATTCCTTCACCCACTTACTTCCCTGGTCCTTCTCACATGAAGAGAGAGCAACAATACCCAAAGTCCAAAGGTGCGAACAATTTGATGTTTATTGGGGTGAACTTCCAGCAAGCATGATTCCAGTTTCCTTCCTTCGTGTCCCCCTTCCCAGCTCTGACACCACAGAGCCTTACACCTGTGTCCCTGTTCCCATTCCTGCCCTTAGCCAAACATGATTCCAATTTCCCCACTCCCATTCCCTGTTCCCATTTCCCACCCCCGTCCCCACACACACTTCCTGATTGATTGCAGACTATGTAGTAAAACTTGAGTTCCGCTTAGTTATACCTTAACCAATCATTTTACTGAAATTTAAGTAACAAATCCTAACATATTGTAACATGATTATGTAACCAATTATATCACACCACCTTAATTAGTTTACACCCAGCAAAATTAATTATACAGCAGACAGAAACAATCACAGAACCAGACAGAGACTATGCAGACAAACAATAGCAAAGTGGGAACTATAATGACAAAACAATACAGAAGTGAGGATTTCACAACTACAACTATAAAGACATAAGGGTTTCCCAGCTGTGTCTATTGATAAGTGAGTTCTAACAGAAAACTATCAACCTAAATTTCCTTTTATATCTTCTAGGCTCTTCCCTTTCTCTGGAGGTGATAGATCAGATCACCTTCCTAACAGCCCCAGATTGACGAGTTTGGAATGTGAGGATGTGACCATTCTCTTTCCAGCTTATGGCTGCTTCTGCTGCTTAGCCAAAGGCCTTAGCCTAAGAACAAGGCCTCAGACTGTCACAGTAAGAGAAGGACCTTACACCGGCAGACAGTGATTTTGATTCTTTCTTCTGTAACTCTATAACTAGCTAAGTGATAAGAATACACCTAAATTCTTAGAGTAGAGGCCTTTACAGACAGGCCTGAATATCTATATCCTAACAGAGCCTTCTTGCTCCCTGTAGTTTCTACAGGTATCTGACTTGCTATGAAGGTGGAGGCAGCATTTATGCTGGCCCCTTCTCCGAGCTCATTCCTTACTGTCTGGGTGAAAAAGGGAACCCTACCTCACCCTCTCTTCAAGGCTTCAGGTCCCAGGCTGGTAAAAACACAGTAACAGGATTCCTTCTATCTGCTACTCTTCATAGGACCCTTTACCTCTCTTCCCATATCTCCTCAGGTCTTATATATCAGACCGCCCAATATTCTTAAAGACCATGACACATGATGGGGAGGACTGACCCATAGGCAGTCCTGCCCTTAAGGGGCAGACTACCCCATCGCACTGCAATAACAGGGCTATTGCTTCATACTTCTTTTCAAGCAAAGTGTTTAGTTATGGTGAGGAGGTACCCTGCCCCAGCAGGAATGCTGAGTCCTAAAGTCATTGGGCCTGGCTCAGGCATAATGCATCTTTGAGCTCTTAAGAGCGTGGCCACTGTACCAGGTGTTCCAAGGGTGCAGTGTGCACTCATTCCTGCCTCACACAGAGTTCACTCTTCTAGCCTGTGGAGAGGAGTGATACAGGGCAATGTCCCACCTCCTTCACACCCATTTGGGAAGGCTAGCACTACCAAGGGAACCTGCACTGGGGAAGTCATATGCTCTCGTTGTGTGCAGCTAGGGCAGGAAAAGTAGCCTTGCAAACCCACATAGGTCTGGGCATAATCAAGCCCACAGATCACAAGCTTTATTTTGATGGATTCTGTATTGTGAGATCTTTCCTACTGCAAGTCACTTGCAAATACGATTACCATATTATTTTGGCAGAAATAATTCAGCAGGAAGGATTTTCACAACAGCGTAAATTATGAAAAAGCACTGCATTTTTAGCAAAGCTTGACTGATAGGCATGCAGTCATGATTACCGGGCTCAGAAGTGGAAGACAAACAGAGCTACTATATCATAGTGCTTATGCTGCAACAGGGGTATGGTATATTGCATTAAAAACAGGAATGCAACAGGAATATGAGACAAGAAACTTATGGAGAAGAAAATAGCATCCACATTTTGTCCAAGGGCAAGGACATGATCATAACAATTGCATGTATACAGCATCTTTCATCTGGAGATCTCAGAGTGCTTTGTAAAATTAAGAGCTTCACAACAATCTTGTGAGGTAGGTAAGTAATATTATACCCAGATTACTACTGAATAAGTAGAGGCACCAAGTGCTTATGTGAGTTTGAACAAAGTCACACACTTGAGTTGCTGACAGAATCAGAAGTAAGACAGGAGGTATCAACTCTGTTCCATGCTCTGACCATTAGAAACCACTTCCCTGGCCATCTTATATCTTCTCTAAGTATTGTATTGCTTCTATAATGCTATGCTGGTTTTTCACTCAGTAGGAGTAGTCTCTACTCGTTGAAAAATGGCAGTATTTTCCTAGCTACAAACTATATCTATTTATGTTTTAAGGATACTCTGAAAAAAAATCCCACCAGGTATTATAATGGTTTCAATCTCTTTTTTGCATTAGGTTGGGCAACTATTGGGAAGCTTTCTCGGATGTGCAATAAAGAACATCGGATAAATGACACACATCTTTTACCCTTAAGGAATATTGCTGAACGTGTACTCTATTTGAAGAAATATATTATTTTACTAAAGACTTTGTCTGACTACCATGGCTGTGAGCACCTTTGGAGCATTTATTTGTAGCTTGATTACAAACAGCTAATGGCATTGTACATACAGAGCCATTCACTAACTGAAATGGAAACCCTAAGGCAAGTCCAAAGCTTTGGTAGCTTTGTTGCCTCTATCAGAGCATCCTGGCTGGTGTTCATCATTATTCTAGTTACTTACAGCTCATCTTTGCATATAAGAGCCCGTCCTCTCATCCCCAATTCTCCTTTCCTCTCCATCTGGAATGCCCCTACAGAGCTTTGCAGTGAGAAGACTGGAGTGCAGCTGGATTTGAGAACCTTCCACTTGGTAGGAAGCACACTGAAGACATCCACTGAGCAGAGTATTACTATATTCTATGCAGACAGGCTCGGCAATTATCCTTACATAGATGAGAACACAGGTGAGACATTTAATGGTGGGATCCCCCAACTGTGTTCCATGGAGCATCATTTAAAGAAAGCCAGTGATGATGTTAATTTTTACATCCCTTCAGATGAACAGGTTGGCTTGGCTGTCATCGACTGGGAAAACTGGAGGCCACTATGGATACGGAACTGGGGATCGAAAGACATTTACAGAGAGGAGTCTGTTGAGTTTGTTCAGCAAAAAGATTTAAGCATATCAGAAATCCAAGCCAGGACTTTAGCCAAAATGGAATTTGAAGCTGCAGCAAAATCATTTATGTTGCAGTCTTTAAAACTGGGAATATCAATGAAGCCGAATCAATTGTGGGGATATTACCTTTACCCTGACTGCTATAACTATGATTACAACCAAAATCCCCACAATTATACAGGAAGCTGTTTAGATATTGAAATAGCAAGAAATAATGAGCTTAATTGGTTGTGGGAGGAAAGCACAGCACTTTACCCATCTGTCTATCTGGAAACGGCCTTGAGATCTTCCAAAAATGCACCACTCTTTGTTCGTAACAGAGTTCAAGAAGCCATTAGAGTTTCTAATGTTTCCAATTCCACCTGTCCACTTCCCATTTTTGTATATACACGTCCAGTATTCACAGATTTCAATCAGGAATATCTCTCTCAGGTGAGTGAGGCTTGGCTAGCTCTTAAATATTTGTAATGTAAGGCGTACTAAATACATAGGCACAAAGCATTTGCAAGATGATTAAAGTATCCTACAGGGGGTTTGGATGTTTACTTAACAAGTAAATGAAATTGTATTGAAATGGAAGTGTACAGACAGACTCACAAAACTTAAGTTTTTTCAGCAACTAAATTCAGCCAAGCCAAAAGGATTGAATTCTTCCAAACTTCCTCCCAGTACCTTATGAGTAGTACTATATCCAACAAGTAGTGAAGTACTATGGAAGTGGAAAGAATATTGTAGCATGTTAATTGAGGGAAAATATGAATAAGCTGTTGTTCCAGCCTGACTGGTTAGGGGCTATTAAAATTAACTGGGGACAATTTTTTTTAAGTGATGTAGAAAGAAAGTATGAAGATTACTTTTTAAAAGATGTTTCAGTTGAGTTTTACCTCAAGAAGGATTAGGAATATGAAGTGTGGTCTGCCCTGGTTTTGTTAGAGCAGTGGGTCTCCACCTTTCCAGACTACTGTACCTCTCGCAGGAGTCTGATTTGTCTTGCTTACTCCAAAATTTCACCTCACTTAAAAACTGTTTGGTTATAAAAATCAGACATAAAATGCAAAAGTGTCACAGTACACTAGTACTGAAAATGTGCTTACTTTCTCATTTTTACCATATACTTATAAAATAAATCAATTGGAATATAAATATTGTACTTTAATATGTATTTAATCATTTCAGTGTATAGTATATAGAGCAGTATAAACAAGACGTATGAAATTTTAGTTTGTACTGACTTTGCTAGTGCTTTTTATGTCAGCCTGTTGTAAAACTAGGCAGATAGCTAGATGAGTTGATGTGCCCGCTGAAATACCCCTGCGTACTCTCAGAGGTACATGTACCCCTGGTTGAGAGCCACTGTGTTAGAGGACCATAGAGCTCCCAGGGATGTCTACTGTGAATTCTAACTCTGTAACTGAAGAAGCAAGTTTCTCAAATCTTTAAGAGAAGCTTCCTTTCTCTAAAATGTTAAATACCCATTGTTGATTAGGTGTTAATAAAACAAACAAGAAAATTAGAGGGTTTTTTTTTTAAACAGTAAACCCCTATCCCACCCTGTTGCTCATTTTTTGTTCTCTGGGCTCTTGTGATGTCACCATTTCACTAGTTCTGCTATCATGGAACTTGCTTGTCTAGAGCAGGGTCAGAATTTCTGATGTGAAAAAAGAAGCAGAATTAAAAAAAAATCAAAACAAAACTTTTTATTTACACCATAAAGAGGCAAAAATGGCACAAGTCCACTGAGTGTTGCCTTTATAGGTCAATCTTAAGTATGATGGACAAATTCTGCTCCCATTTATACAGTATAATTCTGTAAATTTGGAGAAACTCCACTGAAGTCAGTGGGGTTACCTGGGATTAGACCTGACTGAACAATATATAAACAAATATTTTAAATTCACCTATGTGTAAAGCCCAGGATCACCCTGTGTCTTTGCCTTTCCTGATGGCAGAGTGTCCCAAAGCGGTTGACTCTTCCCCCTGCTGCTTTTCTGCTTTGGCTCCCCTTGCTGGCCAAAGTTAAGCGAAGCATTGCCTTGAACCCGAGGTCTTTCATGTCCCAGCCTCAGGTAGCACTTTTGAACTGGGACACCATCAACTTTGATTAGCCAGTCGAGGTGAGAAGGGGGTGGGACAAAATGGTGATCAGCTTGGAGAAGTGCCAGTGTGTCTCATGAACTTTTACGAGCTCAATTTGAGTCTTAGTTCTGTGATCATAAGACATACTCAAAAGGGTGTTAGGTGGCAACGTTGTCTTGCATTATCTGCTCAACTCTGTTCCAGAATCCACCAGCATAACTGAGAGCAGAATGTGGGTGTAATGTTTGTTTAATTATTTACCGCTTTCAAGGTGGTTATTCTGGTTATGTAAAACTTATTGTATGTACTGCATATTACTGAAGCATACTTACTTTATTATTCATCCTTGCATGTTTGCTTTCAGGATGACCTTGTAAATACCATTGGAGAATCTGCTGCATTAGGGGTGTCTGGAATTGTAATCTGGGGAGACCTGAATTTAACACTGAGTGTGGTATGTCAGATTAATTACATTCAATTTTTTAACAAGCAATACATTCTTTTTCCTTAGAGATGAAAAGTTTTAGGTGTTAATTATTATTATTTATTTACTCCTCTCAGAATTTCTACTTTAAATAATGACTAAGTAGTTTTCAGAAGACCCAGTGTCTTCTCTGAGAAGAAAGCAAACACCTTTAAGGCTTGTTGGCATCATCTGCCACTATACTTAAATAAAACATCATCCCTTCAGAAGTCTTTTTATATCAGTGTTAGTACTTAACTTTTAATCTGATATATGCTGTTAGGGATGAGTGGCTAGACAAACTACTATGCTAGCTGCTGGCAGGTTGGCACTTGTTTAGTCAGTTTAGGAGTTCTGAAATTTCTTCATAGCATTCCATCCTAAGGCACAGAAAAATATTCAGGCCTTGTCTGATGCAACTATTTTTATGATCGTCCTCACGGATTGTTGTTTTTTTTAATGGTACATTTAGGGAAAATATTTTAAACATTAAGAGGGTGCAGCCTGTTACATTTCATGATTAGTCTGTTCTCTATTTTGTATGCAATGGATGATAATACCTAGACTGACTCTTATATGAGAAAGATGCATGACAAAAGAGGGGAAAAAAATCTTTTCCCCCCTTCATTTACTTTAGGAAGATCAGCCACAGTTTGAGAAACACTGTTCTAAGGATGCTCCAATAAATCTTATGAACTAGACCATTTGTATACAGTCAAGTCACTCCATATAAAATATTGTTTGTGCAGTTATTGTACTTTCACCCCCACCCACAGTCTACTAAAAGGAAGGAATTGGAACTGTCTAGCACTGTTGGTATCTCCTGAGCAGAAAGCATGCCCACATAAATATTTATAGTTCTTTAAGGACTAAATTTTCAAGAGAGTCTGAACATGGACTCCATTTCTACATGCTTGATTTTGATATGAATATCATTTGCATCTGTAATTTGTGCACACAATTATTATGACAGAATTTACATTGGCAACAGCCTTTAAAATTAAATTTGCAAGTGATTAGTATAAGCAAATGAGATTTTGCATAAACAGATTGTAACATTTATCTACACAGTTGTGCAAGTTTTTACATGAGTAAAGCTGTGTGTTCATGGAACAACCTTCCAGCGGGGATATGTCAAGTCATTACCCTCTTCATACAAATCTCTCCACTAGACCCACTTCTGCCACAACTCCTCCAAGAAATGAATCAGCTAAGAATTGCTAGCTAAAATATCTTTAGCTGTCCTCTCTTTATATAAAACAAAACAATACTTGTGCCACTCATCACTCTGACTACTTTAATGGTATATTATATCCTTTCTCTCCACATTTTGTATGTTTTTCCCGCAGGTGCTTTTGAAAGTGTTATCTTGTGTGCCTCGGTCACTTTGGGTGCCACTGCAATCAATATAAGTGACCTAGAGTAACTGACAGAATCAGTAACAGTAAAGTCCTGCAGCTCTTCAGAAGAGTGGAAAGATAGTAGATTGTGTTGTTCAAAGGCATGTGCTCTAAATTGTCCAAGAACAACACAGTCTGTTCCATAAAAGTTAAAAATAAATAGACAGATACAAACTGGATTGCTTGAATTAAAAGAATCCTGTACTAAGGAGTCTTCCAGACTCCTAGAAAGGTCACAGGTTGGCATAACGTAAGTGATAAAAATCGAGAGATTCTAGAAATGGGAGGAAATATCTATAGTTGAAATAAAAAGAAGTATTTTAATTGGTTAATGTTACCTAGATGAGGTGACCATAATGGACAATGTTTATCTGGGCTTCACCAAATGGGAGTGGGAAGGATGCATGGACTGGAAGGAGCAAGGTTGACCATCTTGGCTGCCACTCCCACTGTCTTCTGGCTGGGATCCACACTAACACCACTGGGCCTACATCATCCTAATCCTGAAAGGCATCCTGACCAGACCAGATCAGACAAGAGAGAGAGGGAACTAGATGACATTGCTACCTCTACCAGCTTTGGCTAAATCCTAAACAAGGCCTGGAACATGAGATTTTGGTTTCTGGTGTCACCCCCTCGTGTGTAATTTTCCTTCCCTGCCTTATTCTTCTCTTTCCTAGCTCACTCCTCTTGCCTTCTGTCTAAAAATAAAGAGTGTGGATAAGCCAGCCAACACAACTCTTATCTTTCGTAATATAGCTGTGAGCTTGTGATCAGAGAGGCCGCTTAAAACAATGCCTAAGACAGACTGACAGTGGTACAAGTTCGACAGGTCTTGGAGTGGCTGATAATGCAATGTGCCTGTGCTTCTCCAGCAGAGAGGCTGAAGTACAAATCAGCATCTAAAATAGAAAAAAACAGCTTCCATCTTTACTGTTCTGTCCTCTTCTCTTTCATGTGTTTGTTTTGTTTTGTCTTAAAGAAAATGGGGCTCAATTTCAACAACAGCTCTAGACCATCCAAACGAACTTCTCTTTTCCCCAGAAGACCAGTTACCACCATCTAAAAGGCTGTCAGACAGAGCTGTCTCCTATAAAAGACTGTTTCCAGCTAAAGGGAAAGGGAATAATGGTTACCGTTAAAATGAAAGTCTTATTCAATACTTCACATTTCAAATGCTCAAATGCTTTAACTGTTTCCCCTTCTTTTTCTATATCTTTAATAAATGAGTTATAAAGATTTTTATAGTGGAGTGTATTACAGTATAGTAAGCAATAACTTGATATGAAATCCCAGACCACACTTAACTCTTTAATGTTTTAATAGTAAATAAATGTTTCATCTTAGCCTTTGCTAGGTCCAAGACATACCCTTTTCAACATAACAGGTGGGAAAAGATAAAAAGCAGAGAGATCTCTTAGGCTTTTTCTACACTGGGTTATTATCCTAATTTCAGCCATTGGTGGGCAGCCATTGATGTAGCTGTATCAGTACAAACCCTAATGCAGACAGGGTAAACTAACTGCTATCAGCTGTGATATGTTCTGGTACAGTTTACCCCAGCAGTAAGCTGCACTGGTGCAAATAGTAGTTTTGCGGGTCTACACTAGGTGTTTGGTGTCTAATCAGGGTAAATTCCCAGTATAGATATAGCCTCAGAAACAAAACATACCAAAAACCAACCCCTGCCCCCAGCCTCTAATTATGAAACCATGCCAAGGAAACAGGAAACCTGTGCCAATTACACAAGAATTTCTCAGTCAATGAGGCATGTTTTGAAGATATTCCTCAATATGAAGAAGTTCCCAGAACTCTTTCTGTTCCAAAGGCAGAGCCCTTGGAGTGTTCAGTTCAAGCCATAAAAACCCCTGTCTTCTGCAGCTGACGGATAGTCAGCTCAGTGGAAAAAATTAAGAGTTTCATAGGGACAATAATTAGAAAAAAATGACCATTTGTGAAGACCTAGAATTCTTCAGGATCCCCTCAAAATAAAAGGAATTTTGATCTCTCTTATAACTTCATTAAGCACATCTGACTCAAAAAAACTACAGGCTAACCTTACATAAATAAAGTGAAAGCTTTAATTCCTTTGCTTTCTGATATTTGAATGCTTTTAATAAAATCTCCAGCATCTACCTAGCATAATTTTTTCATAATTATTGCACTGTATAATAATTTAATAAGTGTGCTTGCTTCCAACATCCAATGATAACTGGCTGTCTGCATTTGCAATACTTCAAGAAAAACATTGATAATTAGCTATGACAATGTTGTTATTGAAGTGACAACCATTTTCGTATTGAAAATGTTTTTAATATGATTTTCTTTTCACAGAACACTTGCAGGACTCTGGACAGCTACCTTAGGCACACTCTGAACCCTTACATCATCAATGTAACCATGGCAGCCAAAATCTGTAGTCAGGCATTATGCCAAGACTCTGGTGCATGTGCACGAAAGAACTGGAACTCCAGTGACTATCTTCATCTGAACCCAGAGAATTTTGTCATTCAGATGTCAAAGAATGGGAAATATGCCATACAAGGGCAGCCATCCTTTCAGGATCTGCAGCGATTTATAGAAAAATTTTATTGCCGCTGTTATGCAGGCTACAATTGTGAACTTAGAGTTGATATAAATGACATCCACTACATCAATGCCTGCATTTCAGAAGATATTTGTGTTCACGTATCCTTAAATTCACTTTCTAATGTAGAAGCCTCTTCCAACACGAGTATATTTTCATTTATCCCACAGAGAAACATAACATTACCTGCACATAATGCAACAAAAGATTTTCAGCAGACTATTTGGAATAACACATTCAATGTATCTACTGCAGGACACATCAACGTCCCAATTAACAGCAGTGGTGATTTAAAGATAACTGATACGCATAGCTTCAGTGGCTCGTCTTCTGATGAGATGAAGATACTGGATGTGGTTTGTTTAATTCTAATTTTGAGAAACCTAATCTAAATGGCACAACTGAAGAAAAAGAAAGAAAGAAAGAAAGAAAGAAAGAAAGAAAGAAAGAAAGAAAGAAAGAAAGAAAGAAAAAAGAAAAGGCTACGTTCAGCATTCTGGAGTTTTTATTCCCACAAAAGGACTATTCTTGAAAGGAGATAAGTAGCTGCAATTTCTGCGGATTTATCTGGATCAGTCCCATTTTCTGTGCCTCATACTGTACATCAGCTTTTCAGTTTAGTTCTATAAACTACTATTTGTGCCAGAGAAATACTGGTCACATCTTTGTGTAACAGAATAATCCAAAAAAATGAACATTTTGTAACTAATTTTTATATATAAAAAAACATTTGTATGGTTGAGGGAGCTATTTGTAATAGAAGATTTTATGTGTCAAAATAAGCATGTGAAATTCACTTCAAACTGAACTTAAATGGGTCTTGACTAATATATAGACTTAGTGATGGTTCTCCTTATGGGGTGAATTTTCATCCAGTGTGAACATAAATACTAGTTCCTACAAATACCTGGATTAACTTTAGAGTGGAGGAAATAATTTGAAGCCAATTTCTACTTTTAGAACATATGCAAGGACTTTGCTATATATCCCTTATTTAAATGTATTCAAAGACTTTTTAAAAGTTATTAATTTTATCCTATGGAATGATTACAAACAATTCACCTCAAGTATCTAATATTCAATATTCCAAATTTGGTCTGTATTGGCTAAGTGTGAGTGGTCACAAAAGTCATGGAGTATTTCTGTTCTTTCTCTGAATGAGTTAAACTCCCACCATCTGAAGGAGGTATTGAAGAAGCTACTGGGGTTTGAATTTCTGGGGAAGAGAGCAGTTGAAGGTTTTAAGGGATCACAGCTCTTGAACCTGGGCCTGTGGGTCCCCATGTAGTCCTCAGACCACAGCCACTCTCCATCAGCTTGATGGTATCAGCAGGGAGTGTGGGCTGCTGGACCCTAGTTCATCATAGGCACTGCCCACAAAGATCTCAATTGGAGAAGCTGTATGACCTCTCCCATTGGCTCAGACTACTATTTAAGACAGAAGGAGTTTTGGGAAGTTGTCTGAGCAACTCAGCAAAACTCTGGCTGGCTGCTACATTGGTCCAGTGCTTAATTTGTGCCAGGGCTGAGCCACGGCACCTCTGGGCTTGCTGCATCAGTCATGAATGTAAAACAGTTGCTGGAGCCCTGGCAACTACTTGTTGAGCCCCAGAACTTTTTTCATTACAAATTAAGCACTTACCCTGACTTTTTGCCTGACTCCTGGGACCTGTCTTGTTCCTGATGTCTGCCTTGTTCCAGATCTCTGCTTCTATGCCTTGTCCCAGGCTCTGACCCTTGGCTCAACTCCTGACTCTAACCCTGACTTTGACCTTTGGCTCTTGACTCTTGCTCCAACCACCACTGCTCTAACTGCCTGTTCCGGTCTATAACAAAGGTGAAGTAACAAACAGGATTAGGAAATTTTTTGACAATTATCTCTTTTCACACGCTTTGCTTGATGCAACATTCTTAGAAAAATTGGGGGACTAACATTTAATGGCTGGGTGAAGAATTTAAATTAAATTTTCTCTTCATATGTACATATACAGTCCTACTTCCAAAGAATGTGAGTTGATCTTTGTCTGGTTTATTAAATTACTTCTTTGCCAGAGCTCTGGTGAAGAGTTTTGGGATCCCATGTGCCCTGCTTTGTCAAAAGGGGATCCCCTCTATATAAAATATACCATTTACGAATACTTGCACATCTCAGTTTTAAACATATTTTTTCACGAAAGTTCACATGAGTATAACTCAACTGTTTGAAAGGTGGAAGAGGGTGAACACAAAGGGGGTCTGGCCAGCACTTAAGCATATTCATTTTGTTAAACACTTGCAGATAATGCTTTATGGTACTCACCAAGCTGTAGTTAACATTAAGGGCAGCCTAAACTTACAGTGCTGCAGCGGCAGAGCTGTACCAGTACGGCTGCACCTCTGCAGCACTTGTGGTGAAGATGCTCTATACTGATGGGAGAGAGCCCTTCCATCCGCATTAAAAAAAAGCTACCCCCTGAGTGGCAGAAGCTGTGCACACTAGCACTATTCCAGTGTAACTTATGTTGTTCCGGGGGTGGAATAGTCACACCCCTGAGTGACACAAGTTTTGCTGACAAAAGTGGTAGCATAGACATAGTCTATAAGCTAATGATTGAGGCTATTAAACACAAAACTATGTCCAAAGAACATTAAGGTTGCAAAGTTCAGCACTCAAAAGTTAAGGAATGCCAGCACTTTGCAACATTAATTCACCCCTCCTATGCACGTGCATTATGGTATAGGATTATACTGCTTTTTTCCATAGGACCTCTGACTCATTCAGCGTGCAGTATGGATGGTGCTCAATGAACGAGCAGCTATTCAATATTTTGTTTTATCCTCGTTCCATGTATGGCTCTAGGCCCTATTTACTGCACATTATTCAAACCCTGCTCTGAAGAAAAAAATATTGTCATCTTGGGCTTTACTATGGTACCTGAGTGCTTCACAAACAATTGATTTTCACAACAGGTCTAATGCTATTATCCCCATATTACACAGGGGGAGCTGAGGGTCAGAGATTAAGGTCAAAATTATCCACTAACTTTGTGTGTCAGATTGATTCACCATGACCTGAATTTTTAGAATCCTTAGCATAACAACAACATTTGATACATTCAAAGCACAGCTCCCATCAGTTGCAGCTAGGAGTGCTAACCATGCCAGCAAATGACAACCTCAGGGCTTAATTGCACTATATGTTCATAGCCACATGTCTGGGGCAGTGTGGAGCTATATAGCCACATGGATTTGTCAAGCACAATCATTCCAAACCAATCTAATTTCCTTCTTTAATAGGTTTATTCGCCTAGATGGGGAAGTAGGTATGATTTATCTTGATGTTTAGTAAGGTTTTTGATACAGTCCCTCATAGGCAAACTAGGGAAATGTGGCCTAGATTACGTTACTATAAAGTAGGTGCACAACTAATTGAAAAACCATACTCAAAGAGTAGTTATCTATGTCTCACTGTCAAACTGGGAGGATGTATCTAGTGGGATCAGCAGGGCTCTGTCTTGGTTCAGTACCGGGTACAGTTTAACACTTTCATTAATGACTTTTATAATGGAGTGGAGAGCATGCTTATAAAATGTATGGATGAAACCAAGCTGGGAGGGATTGCAAGCATTTTGGAGGAGAAGATTAGAATTCAGAATGACCTGAAGAATTGGTCTGAAACCAACAAAATGAAATTCAATAAAGACTAGTGCAAAGTACTATACTTAGGAAGGAAAAAATCAAATGCACAGCTACAAAATGTGGAATAACTGGCTAGGCAAGAGAACTGCAGAAAAGGATCTTGGGATCTTAGTGGATCACAAATTCAACATGAGTCAACAATGTGATGCAGTTGCAAAAAGCTAATATTCTGGACTGCGGTATTAACAGGAGTGTTGTATGTCACACGCAGGAGATAATTGTTCTGCTCTGCTCAGCACTGGTGAGGCTTCAGCTCGTGTGTTATGTCCAGTTTTGGGCATCACACTTTAGGAAAGATGTGGATAAATAGGAGAAAAAGTCTTGAGGACAGCAACAAAAATGATAAAAAAGTTTAGAAACCCAGTTTTTTTAACCTATGTTTAGTCCTGAAAAAAAGGCTGAGGGACCTGGTAACAGTCTTCAGATGTGTTACAGGCTGTTACAAAGAGGATGATGATCAGTTGTTCTCCTTGTCCATTGAAAGTAGGACAAAAAGTAACTGGCTTAATCTGCAGCAAGAGACATTTAGATATTAGGAAAAACTTTCTAACTGTCTTCTGGGAATTGACATACATATGTCCTTACCCCATATTTTTTTTCCTATTGAGGTATCAGCATAGCTAGAGATGGAACACAGCATGGGCAACGTTTTCAAAGGGGTCTCAGCCTAGCTAGTATTTGTGCATGTGCAACATTGTACATACAGTCAGCACTCACTTGTGCATAAAAATAGAATGTATAGGCACAAAGCTAGGGGATTTACCTGTGTGAATTCTAATCTTTGATAGTGACTGAAGTGAATGAGGACAAAAATTGCTCAAGCAGATGATTGCATAAACAAACTTGCATATGCATGGAAACACCATTTTGAAATCTGATCTCACATTCAAAAGCCAATGTGAAATGAAAGATTCCTGCCTTCTACATACTGCTTCAAGCTGTGAAAAGCAGCACCAATGATTACAATTTTTTTTTTATTTTAAAAGGTGTAAAAATTACAGTGGTATTGCCAGTTCCCTCATTCATTGATGTTGGTGTCACACTGTTTGAAGTGGCTCATGACCAAGAGTGCCAAATTCTGGGCAGACTTAAGAAGCAGATTTCACTAACCCAGTAACAAAGGTGAGCTCCCAGAGTACTACAATATTATAATGGAATAACAGACAGTCCCCTTAGACACTCTAGTCTATCTTGCCACCCAGGGAAGTTGGACTTAATGATATATTGTCACTTACATATTTAAACACACAAAGCAGTCAGGTTGCTCCCAATCCCAAGAAACTAGTCACTTCACCCCAGATCAATTTGTACCTTAGATCTCACACCAAAGACAACACTGCTAGCCAATCCAGTAATAAACTAATCATGTATTAACTAGGAAAAAGAAATGAGTTATTTACCAGTTAAAGCAGGCAACATATACACAAGTGAGTTCAGTCTGTGGTTTCAAGAGCAGACAGATCTATTAGGATTGAATATTTTTTTCAGGGCTAACCCATGCTAAGCAGCCTGAGGATTTCTATGCTTATGTTTAGGAATCCTTGCCCATCAGAATCCAGACAACATAAAAGAACCAGTCTCCCCTTGTCAGGTATTTTTTATCCCCTATACCCCAGAGTTCAAAACCGATGGGATGAGTTCATGTGTAGGTCTCTCCTTCCTGGAGGAAGTTAGGAAAGCAATCAACAAAGTCTCTGTCCTTTGATTCTACACAATGTGTCACGGGTCATCTTGGGTGCTTGTGAAGCACTTTACCTTAATCAACACTCCTTTTCATATTTTTTGAGTTACGCAATTATAGAGGTTTACAATGCAAACACTCAATATAACTTTATATCATGGGCTACAGAGGTTATCAATGAGATTAATACATGCAGGATCCTACAAGCATTGTATAAAGTCTAAATACTAAACATTATTTTTAACTTATCAATATCTATTTTGATGATGCTAACACAAGTGAGCTGGACTGGTTTCCACCTATGCATTTGTAAGTGCTCAGTGAGGCCTTGCGTGGGTTATCCCTGAAAAACAAACATTTGATTCTGATAGATGTCAGCTTTTAACACCATAGACTTAACTCAGCTGTGGTATAGGTTGCCTGCTTTAACCTATAAATAACATTTCTTTTTTCCTAGTTAATAAATCATTAATTTTATTACAGGACTGGCTACCAGCGTTATCTTTGGTGTGAGAGCCAAGGTACAAATTGATCTGAACACTGGCATTATCTGGCTGGTCTGGCAGAGTCACAGTTGGCATTTTGGGCTTCTAAATAGGAGTTATTTTTAAGAATCGATAAAAAGTTTCACTGGCTTCTGTGTATTATTTGGAACTCAATACACCTGCTTTTAAATGCTGTATTTGAGCAGCTGCAACAGATGTTTGCTTAAAGCTCTTACCCCTTTCTTGGCCAAAGAAATTTTTAAGGTTTAATATTTGAATATGTAATAACCCCTTACTAATTCTATATTGTGAGTTTGTGATCTATTTTTACTCAATCTTAACATTAAAGACAAAGAACAATGCAGTTCACCTTATAAAATAACCTTCTGAATTGTTATGCCAGATGCTTGTTTGATTGAAGTAACTGATGGATGGAGAAAGCGGGACTCGTAGCATCAATGGGTTAATAGATTGCAGGTGTTCCTAGAGCTAACAGCAACCTCTGTAAATCGTCACTCCCATTGATACAACTTTCCTCGCTAATGGAATTTTCAGTGATTTTGATATAGTAGCCCCTTTATGTTTTTTAAAGTTAATGCTTAAACCTAACAGAAAGCACATATAATATGTCTTGCAATCCATTATATTCACATTTTCAGGTTGTCAGTCCTAACAGACATGTGCAGAAGAGTGTCTGAAGGTCTTAGATTTATTATGGATAAACAATGTTCTGATGGATTTTGGATAGCAAGTTATCATGAGCAAGTGACAACTTTTCCATTGTAGCTATAGACTTGAGTCCACCAGGCAAAGGGATTTCAGCCATTAATGTTTCAAGTTTAATCATGAATAATAATAATAAAAATAATAAAAATCTAGTGTACTGCTGGGCAGTCTTGATCAGCTTCAATACAAATACGTACGTCACTGCATCCCTGATAAAGGTTATTAGACCTTGAGTATACAGCCATCACAAGACACCAGAATTTATGCATGTTTTTCTGCAACTGAGCCACCCCCTGCTCCCCTTCACATTAAGCAGCCCATATAGACACAATCCTGGTTACTCTTCACCTCTATATTTCAGAAACAGAGCTGAAAATAATCCAGGCATCCCCAACCACTGGAACCTCCCCTGTTAATATTTTATAAGTGGTAGCCTAGAGTTTCGGCACGCCCATAAGTATGTCAAGGGTAGGCTTTTTTCACATTTGAAATTATATTAGCTTGT